TGGTGTGTGTGGGTGTGTGCATAGACTGAAGGTGTGTGTGGAGTGCTGGCTGAGTTGAGGGAGCGTGCGGCCTAACGCAGCCGAGAACAGAAGTGGAAATGTGAGCCTGGCCCGCTGTTGGCCTCAACCTGCACGATCGCACAGGGCAGCCTCCACTGTCTGCAGCCGCAGGTGCTTCAGGTAGCCCCCCAACCCCACGCCCCAGGCCGCTCTCACCTCTCGGCCACGGACAGCACCCAGGCTGTGGTGAGCCAGAGGCCAAGCGTGAGGCCCAGCAGCAGGCGGCCAGGATGCGTGTTCATGTACAGCTTGGCCACGAACCAGTGGCGGAAGCGGACCTGGTTGAGCGCGCCGATGCTGCGGTAGGACACGTTGAGCAGGACGCCGCTGCGCAGGAGCACCGCGCGGGGCACCAGGTAGAGGCGCAGCAGCATGGCCAGCGACAGCAGCGCCTCCCCTTGGCTCAGGAAGCTCGGCCAGGCCTGCGTGACGGCCCGCTGCGCCCCGGAGCCCAGCGAGCAAGGCGGGCCCCGCACGGGTGCCGGGTGCAGTCCGCACACCGCCAGCTCCAGCAAGATCTGCGCCACCTGCCGCCAGGTCAGCGCCACGCGCCAGTCTCGGAGCCCGTTGTCGGTCATGAACAGCTGCCGGGAAGGGCGGACAGGGGAGGGGGTCAGGTGCAGGTCAGGCGGCGGCCCGCCAGGCTGTGCCCCGAGATAAGGTGGGGCGTCGCTGGCCCTGGAGGGGGAGAGAGAGCGCAGGGCGTGGGGCTGGGAGGGCTGAGGAAGGAGCGGGGCAGGAGCTCAGGAGGACTTGGTTCCGCCTCGTCCCCTCCCCGCAGTTTATGCCCAAGTCCAGAACGTACAGTCCGGGTTGGGGTGCAGCTCAGTCAGTGGCAGAGCGCTTGCCCAGCGCGCCAGGCCCTGGGCTCCATACCCAGTACCGTGGGCGGGGGTGGGGATAGAACTTGCATTCCTTGGACACTGAGTACCTACTATGCGCCCAGTCATGTTCACTAACTGAGCACCTACTGTGTGCCTGGCCATGTTCTATATGCTGTGGCTTGTAGTGAACAAAACGTTCTTTGGAGCCTCCATTCACCTTCTAGAGCCTCTTCTACCCTTGCTTCTGGGGACTCTAGTAGTAATTGTCATAGCAATAACAATAGCAAACGTTTACTGAGGGCTTCCAAGGCACTGGGCACTGACCCACCCCCTTTTCATGTCCTGACTCTGTGAATGTGACACTGATGTTCTCGCTATCATTTTGCAGATTTGGAAACCAAGGTCCAGATCTCTTAGGTGGGGAGTGGTGCACTAGGCTACAAGATCAGGAGCCCAGGCGAATTAACTGCTCTATCTTACACACACACACACACACTCACTTTACACACACTTGTACTGGGGGTTGAACCCAGGACCTTTGCACTGGCTACATCCCCACCCCTTTTTTTAGTTTTTACTTGGAGACAGGGTCCCACTAACTCACTAAGTTGCCCCAACTGGGCTTGAACTTGCATCCTCTTGCTCCTGCTTCCAGAGTGCAGAGATTACAGGCGCGCAGCACCACGCCCAGCTTAGGACTGTTATTAATGAAGGTGTTACTGCGTACTTTCTACCGAGTGCCTCTTAGGTGCCAGGACTGTTATGTGCTGGGGTTACCATGCATGGCATTATCTCCAGGGTGTATGCCAATGTATGGCACCAACAGGACCTGGGGAGATGGGAGGTGGGATGTGGGTGAGAGTGGCCCGGGGATGGGGAAGTCAGGGGCAGGCACTAGGTGGTACCTCAGGCGGCCTGGGACTGGAATAGCAAGGATACAATGGCGGGCAGAGACCACCCGGGGGCGAGTGGACAAAGACCAGTGGGCAGAAGCAGGGGAGACCGGGGGCCGGGAAGGCAGGAGCTCTCAGCGTCCCTGAGTACGCAGGAGCGAGGCCATGGGCAACATGGGGCTGCACAGGGAGCCTTGGTGCCACCGTCTGTCTCTGGCTTCTCCTGTCTCAGATCAGGTGGTGGGGTGGGCGGTCTAACGGGGTGCGTAGGATTTGGGGGTCCTACCTGGATCTCTTTGGCATGGAAGGCCACAATAAAGCAAAGCAGCAGGACGGTGGAAAGGCTGATCGTGCACTTAACCAGGAACAAGTAGAGCGCCCACTGCGGGAGGACAGAAAGCCAGTGAGGTCCAGGCCTCCAGCCAGCCAGTCCCTCCGCTGTCCTTCCCTGTTTCCAAACCCCACACCAGTTCCTCCTGAGTCTGCATTTGGAAGCGTCCAAAACCACCCTCTGGTTCCCAGAGAGACGGGTCTCATCCTTCCCAACGGTCCACCCTGTCCCTCCCGACCTTCCTCTCGGCTCTTCTTAGGAGACCCCCATCCCGGAAGCGAGGCCTTGCAGCTCACATTCTCTGCATTCTGTCTGTTCAGAGAGAACAGTTGCTCAGTTACGTGAGCAGAGCATCTAGAGAAAGGCATCTGTTCTCCTGAGAGCGCCCCTTCCCTTCCCGCTTCCCTTCCCAGCTGGCTGCTCCTGCCCTAGAAGCCAACTTCAGCTCCCTCCCGGTTCCAGAAGAGCCTAGCAAGTATCATTCAGTCGCAGAGAACTAAATGACACACTTCGCTGCTCTCATCCGGGGGACTGAATCCCCGAGACCCCAGCCCCGGCTCTAAGAGCCCCGCCCCCCCAGCCCTGCCCCTGCATTTTCTCCCCGCTCCTCCTGCCCCGTCTCTGGCTCTAAGCCCAGGGCAGATCTGGCCGGAAGCACGGGGCCTCCAGAAACCACCGGAACTGTTTTTCCTCTCTTTGTATGGCAATACCTTGGAGGAATCTAGAATTCTGGAGGGAAGGATTTAGAAGAAACTGGGACTGCTGAGCTCCCTGATGGGTGGGTCCCTGTCTGGGGGCTGCTGTCTGGGGAAGGGGGCCACCTGGGCTTCCTACTCTGAGCCTTGCACCTGTTTCTCCCAAGTTGCTGCCAGCTCCCCTGGCTGGGCCTGGGCCAGGGCGCCGCCTCTGAGCAGGGGAAGAGGGCCAGTTTCCTGCCCCGGGGGGCCCTCCCCCACCCCTCCCTGAACAATGGTGCTGTTGTCCCCAGGCTTCCCCACCCCCGTCATCCTTCCAGGCCTCCCCGGTTCGCGCTCTCTTGCTCCAGTGGGACGCAGCCCCCTGCGCTCTCTGCAGTGCAGCTCGCTTCTCCGGTAGCCTTTCCTCCTCACCCTCCTCCACAGCCCGGGCCCGGAGCCCCGTCCTGGCGCCTTGTCCTCCCCAGCTGTCTGCACCTGCCTGTCCTGCAGCCCCCGCCCCCCGGGGAGCAGGTGTCCGGGCCTCACAGCACGGGTTCAGTCAGACTGCAGTGGAGGTGGGGAGGAAACAGCGGAGTCACAGGCAGGGGTGAGCGAGGAGCTGAGGAGGACCCTGTGGCCCTGGACTTGAACCCTCACCCTCACTCTGCACCAGGAACCTAAGCTCAAAGAGCTAAGCAGCTACACCCCCTACGCTTCCTACCACTAGGGCCCCCGCCTGGCAGACTGTGGGGGGAGGAAGGCTTGCGAGTTGGAGAAGGCGGGGAAGGGACTGGGGAGGAAGCCCCTTGTCCCCCTGCATCTGCTGCCGCGTCCCCACCTCCCCTGCTGGGCGCGGTGGTGAAGCGTGGGAGCGCCGGGCAGGCCCCAGGCCACGCTTCCTGTTGGCATGAGCCCGGGCGTCCCACCCCCTCCATGCCGCTGCCCTCTCTGCTCCTGCCCGGACAGAGGAAGCTGGCCTGCCTTGACCCTCCTGCTGGTCACTTCAGAGCTGTCCACTTCCCGATCCCTCAGTCCAGAGCCAGGCTTCCAGGCCCCCGGAGTCCTCCCAACCTAACCTTCAGGAGCCCCCTCCCAACCCCACGGCCCAGCGGCACAGCCTTTGCACCAGACAGAGCTGCAGCCTCTCCTCTCCTGTTGAGCAATTCTGCTCCCCGTCAAGCCTGGGGTTTGCTCCTGCCCCCTACCTGCCCCGCTCTGCCTAGCCCGGAGCTGCAGTGTTCCGGGAGCCTGCTGAGACTTGTTCTACCCCCTCCACTCCCCACTTGTCCTCAGAGCAGCACCTCTTCCCCCAGATCTCTCAGCCTCCTCCTTCAGACCCCCGCCCCTGCTCCCCTGAGGCTCAGGAGCCTGGGCTACTGGAAACTCGCCCCTGCACTCCCTTCCCTCCTGGACTGAATGGCAGGTCAATTCCAGGGGGCCACTGAGCTAAAGGATAGAGATGGGGGCGTCTAGACGGGGATCGGTTTCCCAGCCCTGCCCCCAGCCGGTCTCTTCTGGGCTCTGACCCCTGCTGCCCAGGCGCTGGGGAACTGGTGGTGGAGCTTAGATAAGGAGCAGGGAGCCTCTCCCTGCCGAAGGAAGTCGGTCCCTCTCCACCCTCCACTCCCAACCCTGGTAGGGGTTCACCCTCCCGGGGCTCAGACCTCCTTCATCTGATCACAACTTCTTAGGCCCCTTCCTCCCTTCCTTTTGCAGCGAGGGACCCCAGACTCTAACTCCTTCAGGTCTTCGGAGTCAAGATCCCCAGTCCCTTCTCCCTTAGACCAGGAGACCAAGCCCCCAGCTCCACCCCGCTCGGACCCAGGGGTCCAAGCCCCTGGTTAGTGCCCCAGGTTAGTGCTCCACTCACCGGGCACCCCCCGAACCACAGCATCTCCGCGTGCAGCACCATGAGTCCAATGCCAGTTCCCGCCAGTGCCAGCGCCCAGCCGGCCAGCCACTTCTCCTCCTCCAGCAAGCGCTTTCGCCTCCGCAGGGCCCCCAGGCCAGCCACCAGGTCCCCGCCCATGGCCCCTGAGGTCTTGAGGCTCAGCCAGCTTCCTGCCCAAGGTCCCCCACCTCGCAGTAGGCAAATGGCAGCCACTTTGGCTTCCAGGCCACCGGCTGCTCAGCTCGCGCTGGGGCTTCTGCTCCGAGGCAGAGGCACTGCAGAGCCCTGTGCCCTCTGGGGAGTGGTAACGGCTGCAGGGCAGGGCGGGAGGGGCGGGGAGGGCTCTGGGTAGGGGGAGGCTCCCCACCCCCCCTCCCAGACTAAGGAGGGGTTGGGGTGTGTCTGGGTCAGAGCAGGGAAGAGGCACCCATCCACGTGGGCAAGGACACACACTGACACACAATGGGCTGTGCCTACAGCCGGCTGCACCTTGTGACACACACCTACACCCCCCCCACCGGACACCACAGGACACCCCACGGCCGGGGACGGATCCTCACACACTAAGGCACACTGCACGACCTACACCGAGTGACTCACAACTCCCGAGGAGCTCTGAAACCCACAGCCACACCCAGACACCACACACACGGTGTGTGACACACGCCGGCACTTAGCTGGGCAGGCAGCGTCCCCTGGCACACATGGCTACCCAGACATTGTCCACACACAGGCGCGAACGTTATATTCAAAACTGGTGGCGACCGAGAGCCACACCCAGACATCACACACGGGGTGCCACACCGCAGTGCTCCTCAGACACGCAGTCTGGGTCGGCAGAGCCAGACCCAGATGCCACCACACACAGCACACACGTGGAAACAAGGCACTTGTGAAGTCCCAGACACAACACACTCCCGGGATGGCACCTGGCAGTGCAAACACACAACGCTCAGAGCCATGGCTGTGAGAGCCCTGGCCAGCTAGCACAGAGAAACACACAGATATGTGTCGTGGTCACCCATGATCATATACATAGAGCCATCAAGACGATTCACAATGCACACTGATTTGCTCACACACAGTATGCCCTGCACACAGCGCAGTTCAAGCGAACAGGCAGAGAGCAGTGTGAATGGACGTGCACAGAGATCTACAGTGTACAACGCAGGGCCCAACAGCACATGCCCACGGTCAGACAGCATGCCCTCTTTGGGCCACACAAGACACAACCACGCACATGATGCAGGCTACGTCACTGAGCGATGTGCGGTGTCACACACGGAAGGCCACAGCACACGGACACACACGGTGAATGCAGTGCAGCGTGATGCCCAGTGACTCCTAAAGGGACACACAATGTAGGACGCGACAGCACACAACAGGGCAAAAGTAACACAAGGATCTATACACTGTGTACCGAGACACAAATCCAAACACTCCCATCACAAATCACAGGGACACACCAACGTGGTCGCACAAAAACACCTCGCAGGGCGGTGCACACTGATCACATGACATAGCAGGTGGCCTGCGGACCTACTCGGAGAAGAACACGCAGACGCAACCCCTCTCCCTCCCCGGATCCCACGGCCCGCGGCCCGCCAGCCGCAGGGGAACGAGACACTCGGACAGACATGTCTGGCAACACACCAACGCAACCCACACAGGCACACCCAGAGACACCAAACCACACACACAGACACGCCCAGTGACAAAAACGCAGCCGGTGGGGGTGCCCTGCCCCATGGCACACGCACAATTCCCAGTCCGGTGACACACGGCGGGAGGGGTGGAGACACACCCCACACCCGGACTCCACTTGTGCGTCTGTCTGGAGAAAGTGCGGCTGCGGTGATCTGAGGCAAGCAGCACCCCTGTTGCTCACACCGCCCCTGAGCCCTGCGGCCTTCCCCTCTCCCCTTCCTCCCTGTCCCTTCTCAGCGTCTCCCCTCTGGACACCTTGGGATTTGCCTTCCTCGTCTTCCTGTTTCCATTTTCCCTTTTTCTTTTTCCTCCCAGGACTGGGGATGAAACCCAGTTCATTTGCACTGAGCCATATCCCCACCCTTAAAGAATTTTTTTTTTTTTTAATTGTGCAGTAAGGTCTTGCTAAGTCCTAGAAGCTGGGCTCAAACTTGTGATCCTCCTGCCTCAGCCTCCCAGAGTGCTGGGATCACCAGCTTGCACCACTGCCCCTAGCACGGCCTCCACTTTTCTCCCCCCGTGGCTGTGTCTCTTTCAGTTCCTGCCCCTCTCAGTATCTCTGTGTCTCCGTCACTGGTCTATTTCCTCGGTCTCTCCCCGCCTCCCCTCTTCAAAGCTTCCCGACTCTTGCATCTCTGCCTCTGTCTCCACCCTTGGTCCCTCTCTGCTTCCCTCTTTCATTTTCTCCTTGCCAGTGTCTCTGCCTCGGGGCCCCTCTGCACTCACCGTCCTGTGTCTCTGTCTCTGTCCCCTTTATGCGTCGTTCTGTTTGTTTCCGGAGCTGTTTCTATCTTTGTCTCAGTTCATAGCTCTGTCTGTCTTACTCCCTCCCCGTCTCCAGGTCTCCCTCCGACTCTCTCTTTTCTCAGCTCTGCCTCGGTTTATCTCTGGTGCTGCCCAGCACAGCTGTGGACAGCCTTGCGTCTTCCAGATCTACCACAGCTCCACTGGGGGCTGTGAACCAGAGAGAGACTGTGGTTTCCTGAAAGGTTAAAAGCCGCCATGCAGCCGCAGCCCCAGCCCCAGGTCAGGTACTCTTGAGAAACAAGCACAGAGACTGACAGAGACAGAGAGAGAGAGAGAGAGAGAATCAGAGACACCCAGAGTGTCACTCAGCGGTAGAGCTTGTGTTTGGCATGCATAAGGCCACAGGTTCTGTCCCCAGCACTGCAAAAACAAAACAAAACAAAAATCACCAACAACAAAAATCTAAGACAAGGAGAGAAAAGGGATCCAAAGAGGAAGAGAAAGAAAAAAACTTGAATCAAGACATGGAAGTTGACTGTAGGGAGAAACTGGGTCTCCAAACGGACCCCTGCAGAAAGGCTGGGGACAGGAGGTGCCTGGTCGGGTGGTGGGAGTGTCGGGTGGTGGGACAAGCCCTCGAGGAGGGAAGGGTATCTGCCTCTGCACTGAAGCTCTGGGCTGCGGGATCAGTGGTAGGAAACACCTCTCTAGAGCCAGCTCTCTCCAGCTCAGGGAGGGGCCAGCCATGGAGTGGGGGTGACTCAGGGCCCTGGGCTTCCTGTGACTCAGACTGGGCTCAACCCTGAAGGAAGAGTGAGGGAGAGAGGGGCTCTCTGTAAGGAGGGGAGAGAGAATACCACGGGACTTCAGAGTACAGCGAGGAGCTCAAGAGGCTTGGGGCCTGGACCCCCGAGTCTGAGAGAGGAGGCTGGGCCTAGACTCCCGGGTCTGAAGGAGGAGGCTGGTTCCTGACCCCCAAGTCTGAGGGAGGAGGCTGGGCCTGGACCCCCAGGTCTGAAGGAAGAGGTGCTGGTTCCCACACTCCTGGTCCAGGAAGACTGGAATAACTGATTCCATAGTCCCCAGGACTTTTCTTTGGCTTTGTCCCAACTGTCCTACCTTTGTCCCAGGCCCATCTCCGGGCCTGGAAGAGACCCAGGTGCCTCGGGGCCCAGCCGGAAGGGGCCAAGAACAAAGGGTTGTTTAACTAGCCAGGGTGGTGGTGGGGAAGTGAAGAAGAGGGTGTCCGGATGGAAAGGTCACTCATCGCCCAGGGCTTGTGCAGGGAAAGGCAAGGCTGAGCCCCAGGGAAGACATCCTGAAAGTTCGAGGCCTGTGGGGCAGAAGCTGTCTCTCGGACTTTGACATTTAGAAGCTCCAGGGAGTAAGAAGACTCCCACCTCGTGGTGACTTTAGGAACTGCAGGCACTCTACTTTAGCTTCCTGTCTGGTCAAAATAGAGTATATTGAGGGCAGTAGACATGGCTCTATGGTTTGGTTTTTTTGTTTTCTTTTTTTTTTTTTTGTACGGGGAATTGAACTCAGGACCTTGCACTTGCCAGGCAGGCACTTGCGCCACTGAGCTACATCCCCAGCCCTAGGCACAGCTCTAAAAGTTGGGGATTAGTAATGAAGAAAACAGACAAAATCCTGGCCCTCATGGCACTTCCAGGCTGAAGGAGAGAGACCAGGTCGGCCCATCAATCTCCGTCTCTCACAGTCTTCGCTCCGATTCTGTCTGTCTCTCACTGGACTTACTCTGCTATTTCTAGCTCTTGGTCTTAGTCTCCAAATAAATGCCTTTCCCTTTTCCCCTTTTCTCTCTGTTTTTTATTTTCTCCTTTATATCTGTGTTCTGCACCAACTAACACCCGTGACTATTATAAAGTTAACACATATACATATGTGCACACACAGGTGCACAGCTATGCGTGCGTGCACACACGCGCACACACACACACACACACACACACACACAGAAGCTGGGTCCAAAGGTCTCTGTGTGAAGCCTTGACGGGTCACTGGTTTTGTCTCTGTGTGGAATGTAACACACCGGCAGCTGTTCAGAGGCAGAGCGGAGACCAGTTAGCTGCCATCCTGTGGGCTCTGTAGGATGGGAATGGCACGCAGGCAACAGGGCTTCGGAGGCTCAGGCGAGGTGGGGTAGCGGAGCTCTCAGCACCGGCCTGATCTGTGTCAGGCATCTGTGGGACATCACCCCCGGGGCTGGCTGACAGTGAGTCCTCCCCTGGTGTACTGCTGTATGGCTTCTCCCAGGAGGTAGAGCGAGACCCTTTCCTTCAATCTGGCTGGCTTGTGACTTTTTTCTTTGCTTTTTTGCAGTACTGGGGGTTCAACTCAGTTCTTTGCACAGCGCTACATCCACAGGCCTTTATTTATTTTTTATTTTGCTTTTTTTTTTTTTTTTTCCTGTACCAGGGATCGAACTCATGACCTTGTGATTGCCAGGCAGGCACTGTGCCACTGAGCTAAATCCCCAGTCCCTATTTTTTATTTTGTGACAGGGTCTTGCAAAAATGCTAGGTTGCCCAGACAGGGCTCAAACTTGTGATCCTCCTGGATCCTCCCAGGCCTGATCCTCCTCCTCTGATCCTCCTCAGCCTCCCAGGGTGCTGGCATGTACCACTACCCCTGGTTTGTAACTTGCTTGGACGAGTAGAATGCAACTGAAAGGATGTCAACTGCGGGTGATTGTGAAGGCACCAGAAGCTTCCATTTTCATGCTTTTAGAACTCTAACACCACTATGCTGTGAGGAAGCTCAAGCTCGTCCCCCGGAGAGGGACCATCTGGAAATAGTGCAGCTCAGCAAAAACTGCAGCTCAGGCTTGCAGGATGCAGCCGTGTGAGGCCTCAGGAGACACCAGCAAGAGGGCACCATCAGCCCTCAGAATTACGAGAAATAATAAGGTTTTGGTTTTCAGACACTACATTTTGGAGTGCTTTGTGACATAACGGTAGCAATTGGTATACTCTCCTGCTCACCTCTGTGTGTTCCAAGTTGTGGTGGATTGATAACTAGTGGTCAACTTGTAACCCCCAGCTGAACGGAGTCAGCGTGGCGCTGGGTGTAGGAGGCCCAGCTGAGGATGGCTGCCAGCAGCATAAGAGGCAGAACTGGAGAGGAAGAAGTTTAGAGGCTGTTGGGAAGCTTTTGGAAGCTGCTGGAAGCTGTTGGGAAGCTTTTGGAAGCTGTTGGGCCTATAAGGAGCTGTTGATTCTCTGGAAGGAGCTTGGCATGCGGGCTTTCCTGATGAACTTGGCTCTTCTCTTTGGAGGAGGAGCTCGGGACCTCACTGTCGCTGAGGATGGCTGCAGTTCATTGTGGGGAGCTCTGGTCCTTCACTTTAAGCATCGCTTCCTGGTTCCAGAGGGGAAGATGGTGCGGTGCTCAGTCTCCTGGAGAAGGTTGTCACGTTGGCCTTCCTGGTGGGAACTCAGCTCTCCTCATCATCAGAGGAGCTTGGGACCTCACTGTTGCTGAGGATGGCTGTGGATATAGATGAATATGCAGGGAAATGAATTGGTAGTGGAAATTACACTCTATAGATTATACTACATAAATTCCTTTTACTTTTTTTTTTTTTTTTTTT